TGCTGGGAGTGAGTGGGGTTATTCTGAGTTGTCTTGCAGCTCTGTCTGAGTTATGTAGCTGCCTTTAAAAAAATTAATCACTGGCAATGCACCTGAACACTCATGTGCCACTTAATGTACACCAAGAAAAGGTTTTTCATATGACGCCTATTTTTTTAGGCTTTTTGTCTCAAACATAAATGCTATACATTCTCTTTACCTCATTCACAACTGCAAACTTAAGTCCATATGTAAAACGCCCCTTGCTGTGAGAATGTTAATTAACTTTGCTGCAGAGAACTTGGAATGCACAAGTGTGTGTGTTCCTAATTCTCTGACCCGCTGTCTAACAGACACGTTAGTTATAGAGTTTTTGTCAAGCTAAGTGACACATACTAACGCGGCTAATCTTGGTTTGGTCATTCAGGTTTTAAAAATCTCCAGTCACGAAAGGGTTAATGAAGAATCACATGTGTGAAAACAGATGGGTTTTCAGAGTCTTAAATATTTTTTGCTTTAGTAGAAATGCTCCTAAATAAATAAACACTTACATAAACACTTGCATGTATAAAAACATATAAGCAACTGTACAGTATTCTTCTAGCAAACACTGTGGAAAGAAAGGAATGATTAATTGACAAATGTATATATTTTTTTTCTTTATCTAAAAAGCAGATTGCCATTTGTGCACTTATTTAGAGCTGAACTGCAGCGGTCTACACTGATTAAAAACATATAAAGCTTTTTTACCTGCCAAAAGATTTCATTTTCTGTCAATCCGTTTCTGAAATTTACACAACTCTGCCCCACAGCTCAGGAAGAGGGACCTGATCTTTCTCTGTTGATTGATGACTTCATCTTTGCAACTTTTCTTTCCCCTCCTTTAAGCAGGCTCCTTGCACGGCAGCACACCTGGCTGGTTCTTTGTGCTGCTTCTTCCTCCCACTTTAGGTGGCTACAATATTTGCATTAAATAAAATACTTTGGCTGAGATCACTATTATTTTCTCTAGGGATTGGCTGGAGCTAAAGATATGACCAAAGTGCTTCTTCTCCCTCCATGGCAAAATGTACATGTTCAGCCAATGTAAACATGAGTGTTAGTAGAATGATCTTATGTATAAAAGATAATCTGGTGGCCAGATTGTGCATTGGCTGGCTGCTATCTTAGGTTTGTAGATGGCTTTAGCCTGAAGCCATGGCTACATCTTTATCCCCGAGTGTTGTGAATTTTGGCGGAAAGATTACTTAGCAGTTTTCCTGAAAGGCTTAAGATACTAGGAAGTGATCAATCTTGTTGGTAGCTACTGTGATATTGGTTTTAGTGGACTTATCTTTTTAATAGGGCTCAGTTTTCACGTTTATTTATTTTGTTCAATTTAAAAAAAAAAGCCATGTCAAATATTATCTTTCTTGTAAATAAGGTAGTAATATGGATTAAACTGTTTGGACACAAACCTGACACTACAGCGTGCACATAGGCCATAACTCTTCCAGCTCGAAGGGACTCTAATGCATTGTGCTATTACTTTGCTTAGAAATAATTTATAGAATAGAAAGCCATAAATTCTGTTCGTATTGTTTCCAGAAAATAGATTAAAAGCTGACTTTCTCAGATTTGCAGAAAATGGCAGAAAGACGGCAAATTGCACCTTCTGGCCACAGCAGGCATTAAATGCACTTGTAGAAAATATAATGGTACCAAAATATTTCCTCAACACAGTGAAACTTCAACCAAAAAAAAAAAAGCCCCTAAACTTTGGGTCTACTATGATGGATGATCCCACCCTGAACATCAGGGGAAGTAAAGGAGCAACGTTTGTTTATAAATTCCTTGCCCTTGCCTCCCACTGGCCTTTAAGGGGTTCTAAATACTGGGAGGTGGGCTTCCCAATCATAAGATCACTGTGATTGGCTGTCACAATGATTAGGACCCTGATTCAGATTGCAAAGAGTGACTGGGAGCTGTTGGTGACAGCGCAATTACTGTGTTGGGGTCCCGGAGGGAGCATGCTCCCAGCACAACACATCGGTACCTTCCCCCCAATGTTAGTGTCAGTACTTACCTTAAATTATGTCTCTTAATCTGATCTTCTCTTTCTCTATCGTTTTCAAACTTCTCTCCAGCTCTGCTGCGGGTCTCCAAACCAGCGCTGACTCCTCTGTCCTTGCTGGCACTTCCTGTCCCACAGTGTCTGCATGCAGGTGCACGCGTCCATAGACTTACCTTGTGTCTCTCCTCGTCTCCCGGCCGAAAATCTGAACTGCGCATGCACCCACCCCAAGATCCTTTGTGGCCGCCCAAGACTTTTCAGATTTTCCGACGGGAGCGCTCGAAGAGGACACAGGTAAGTTTAAACCTCTTTTAAAGCGTTTTTAAAAGGGGGGAGGGGGGAATGCCTGTGGGGAGTGGTAAATGACAGTCACCGCTCTCTGCAGGTAGATGATCGAGAAGTGATCGGCTTGAACTATGAGGATGAGTGATTTTCACTCACCTCATCGTTCTCCTTTAATGTAATGATATAGCACAACAGACCAGTTTCTAATGTTGCCTGTGGTCTCCTTGCAATCGATCCTTTCCCTATTACTGACTTTCCATTGCCTTATTCCATGTCTATTATATTATACCATGTCTCTGTGTGGAGATAGCTATATTGCTAGAGCAGGGAAAGGCAGCCTTGGAACGCCAGCTGTTTTTTAATTACAAGTCCCGTGAGGCATGTAGCCTACAGGCTTGAAAGTCACAGGCTTGACTCTTAGGGGCAGAGGCATAATGTTCTTTGTAGTTTCAGCACAGCTGTGATGCCAAGGTTGTCTACCCCTGTGCTAGAGGAAAAGGGCTTTGCTGCCTCACATCAGCTGCCCCCTGACAAGTGGTAATCTGATGATTGCTGGGTGCCTCTCACACTACATATATTCAGATATCAGTCTATAGGCACAAGAGTGCCTACAGCAAGTGGATTGATATTTTTACGGAGACATCAAGCACAAAAGATAGATTTTTTCAGGGTACTGTTTAGGCACAATTAAAAGTTCTAGATATTCCCTATAAGAGATCAAATTTTCTCTTTCTGAGTTAAGGCCTACTTTAAGGAGTCATTCCTTAATCAAACAGTTGCTGGACCAATCCTTTTTCTATGCATATGTTAAAATGTAGACTGACTGACCTAGGAGAAAAACTTTGGTTCAGATGGCAATTTTTTGGCTGGGTGGGTCTCAGAATTGCCATTAAACCTGATGAGTGATCTCCCCCATATGTTGACAGCCTAATTGTCATATAACATTTAGTCTTACACAAGTATATACTCCGTTCCTTCTCTCAGGAACACCTTTATCTGTACCATACAATACAGAGTATTATAGTGATAAAGGCAATAATGGATAGTGGGCCCTCTGTGCTATCTGCACGTTGGATGTGACATGCAGGGTTTTCTTATTCATAGCTTCTTCTCCAGGGCTGGGTGGTTTTCAGGTTGGCCACTGCAATGAAGTGTACACTCCAGCTGCACTATAAGGGATAGCCAAGGAAGGGTAGTAAGTGTACCTGAAAAGTGTAGGCTGACAGTTGGTCTTGCTGTAGGACAAGCACCATGGAACACGTTAGACCTGGCCACAGGATCTGCAGAGTAGAAACCACATTGGATCACATTGAAAGAGGTAACTGGGCTTGGGAACTGGACCAGGATCTCACTGGAATCAGCTGGATCAGCTGATTTAACGTACTTGAACGGTCCCATATGTGGGTTGTGACGTGGGATTCCCCAGGACGTGATGTCTAAAAGCCTACAGGTATTCACCAAAGAGCCCTAGGGGTATGGACTTTGCATACTGACTCCAGTTGCGACCCCAGGGTTCACCTTCCTCAGGCATCATGGACCACGAGTCAGAAAGACACCAAGAAGTAGATCTGGGAGAGATAGAAACTGCCGGGTACCAGATTAGCTGTATAGTTTAGGTTGTAACAGTCCAGAGGTCAGGACTGACTGTGGACACGGATTGGCAGGGTACAATGGAGAGGTCACGGCATGCAGCAGACATTGATAATCGGGAACAAGCCAGAAGTCAGGGCAGGTGGCTGACACATATAACAAGGAAACCAAGCCAATAGTTGGTACACAGGAACCAATGGACTAGGGTGGAAGCTGGAAGCAAGAAGGCCCCAGCAGCTAGCCTAATAAAAGCATTGCTCAGGCAGTAACACACTGGTAAAATTCGTAAGTGTGTGCAGCTCACCAGAGAAGCAAATTTGTTTCTCAAACATGGAAGGTAAATAGCGCTATCAATAGTACTTAGTGCCACTGACTGCCTCTGCAGCATTACACTGTGAGTGCATTGTACTGTGACAACATGATGTTGAATTAAACTAGATGTCTTTCCCTTTGGAAGACTAAGGATATCTAGTGGCAAGGGATTATTGCAGGGGACAGCGCTGGCAAGGAGGAGTTTTGCAGCCAGCGCTGCTTTTTTTATTTTAACACCTCCTTGGGGACCATTACAAAAAAAAATGTTCTCCAAGACTCGGAGATGGGATTATAGTGTAATTTGGGATGACAAATATTATGCATTGTTTTAACTCAGGCTTTGCATGTAGCTGCACTCACACACCATAAACAGTCTGTGAAGCAGAAATGGGTTATTAGTAACAAGAACCACAAGCAAGAAAAGCAAATGAAATGCATCTGCAAGATGAGTATTTTATGATGTAGGAAAGGTTTTGGGAGTGTCACTGGTACATTTATTTGCATATTTATACACGGTTCATCTTTGACAATCTGTTAATAGACAAAGAGAACTAAATCTAATCTTGCTTAAACTAATGTATTTAGATTTTCAATTTTCTCCTACCTCTGATTAATGATCACCTAGTTAAACAATGCAAGCATTTTGCATTTTTTTTTCTTATTACTTTTATCACTATAATGAAATGGCATCCTGCCGGGACATATTTTACTTTTCACCTTAATGTTTCTTTCACGTTCTAATTTATGTTCCTCTTCTCATTTATTTTTGCTACTTTTTCAGGTTTTTGTTACAAAGATAGTTCGTCTTCTAGAAAGCCCTTCCACAACAATTCGAGCCAAAGCTTTCCTGGTCATTTTGCAAGTTTTAATTAACAACAAAGAGATGTTACTGCTGTGCTGCCAAACCAGGTAAATCTAATCTAATTAAATATGTAAATCTTGTGTTATGAATTACTGAAGTGCAGAGCTGTTTACATTAAATCTAAGCTAAAAAAAAAAAAGACAAACTGTTTTTATATAATTACGTTTTTAGAAGAACTGCTGTTTTGGGAGCAAACCATTGTGGTTTTTTTTCTCAAAATTCTAGACCTGCATGGGAAGATCTTTTATCTGATACAATGAAAAGATCTGAGTGAGGTCCATCTTTCACATTTAGGACCACCATATAGACAGGGTTTATTTTTGTTTAACTTTGTGTGTCATTGCATGGTCTTCTAGCCTGGAAGCTCTATACATCTACTGTCATATTTATGAAAACTGTTCTACAATAAAAACTACAGTGTGACATATATTCATATAATTAAAGCACCTTTCCCATGGCACACAATTAAGGAAACTATTTAGCATCTGACCTAGTATTTATTCCAGATTGGTTTCAGTTCATAAAAAACCAGATATATTGAAGTGGGTTTAGTCAACTTTCTTGGATGTGTTGATCTGCCTTTGTAAAAAGAAATACACATACATACCATTCATTCACAGCAGTCCCTACCCTCATGGAGCTTACAATTTAATTTAAAGTCTATCTCCAGGGAAACAAAACAATTTCCTCTACAGTGGCCTACCCCTGCACTGCAAAGGTTAACTGCCTGTTTATGTCTAGGGCAGTGGTTCTCAACCTGTGTAACCTCAGGACCCACATTTGTCCTTGGTCATTAAGTTGCGACCCAAGTCACACTGAAATGGAACACACAGCATTGCGGTACCGCGTGTTCCGGTGCAGGTGATTGAACTGTGGGTGGGAGGTGTATTTGTGGTGACATTTGAATGAATGGCAAACCACCTCCCACATCAGAACGCGTAGTAGGTGTGATTGCATGGTACAGTGAGTTAATCGCACAGGACTTTTTGATGCACTGTAGTAGTGTGAACGGTCCCTCAAAAACACTGACAGACACATGTCACACACACATATACACTCCAAAAAAATGTTACATTTTTTTTCTTTTTAACTGGTTAAAGAGCAACCCAGTCTCCCTACCTTACGAGAACTGGAGTGGATCCTCTGTCTGGGATCTAGTGTGGGCTGCTGTGCTGTGACCAAGCTCCATCCATATGTGCATTATATGCACCACTCCCTTGCACACCCTGTAGAGATGCCAGGAGCCAGAATGTGATGTCATTCCAATCCAGGCACCTCGACAGGACATGTGAGGAAGCTGTAAGCAATAGATATATGGATTGAGCTCCCTCGTGGCCATAGCTCCAGCCCACCCCACCTCACCTCAAGCTGACACTCGGCGCCGAGCAGCATATGAATGGCTGCTTGGCCCGAGAACTGACAGTGCTGCGCTAGGGGGAGGCTGAATAGTCTCTCACCTAGAAAAGTGGAAGGCATGCGGCGACCCACCGAACACAGGGTTGCGACCCTCTTTTGGGTCCAACCCACCAGTTGAGAACCAAGGGTCTAGGGCAGGGGTCTCAAACCTCCGGCCCTCAAGCTGTGGTGGATCAGTCTCTTAGACATAAACACAGTTAACCCTTGCAGTGCAGGGGAAACCTCCCTGCAAGGGGAAGTTTTTTGTTTCTCCAGAGATAGGCTTTAAATTGTCTGCATTCTATGGAAATTCCTTTCACTGTAGCACCATGCATTACATTGATTCACATCAATTAAGCTGAACCTGCAGACAAATGCATAAACATACAGTTGAAATCTATGTGAACTGTTATACCTGCCAACAGATTTGTAATTTTGCTCAGTCTTGTGATGCCGACACCCCTTTCAGATAGTGTAGCACTTTTCTTCACTGCATGTAAGTACCATGACAATGACTTTCCTCCAGCCAGAAGTACGCTGATGAGGCTATCACTCTGATATATAGATATATATATAGATATATAGTGCAATATAAATGGGTAAGCCGTATTAGTCCAGTAGACAAGATGTCAAAAAAGACAAAAATGCAGTATTGCAGTGTGCACTGTAGCAGTCTTTCCCATGGTGTTCTTAGGGCAGATTTAATCTCTTTAGAAATAGTCTTTTCCCTATAGCCCTTTCGCCGAAATGCATCAGCCAGTGTGCTCAGGTGTTTGTCTCTGTCCTCAGTGTCAGAGCAAATGCGGTGGTATCGGATTGCTTGGCTGTAGATGACACCCTGTTTAGTGTGATTCGGATGGAAGCTGGAATTAAGAAAGGGAAAGGGCTATAGGGAAAAGACTATTTCTAAAAAGATTAAATCTGCCCTAAGAACACCACGGGAAAGACTGCTACAGTACAAAGAGAAGAAAAACCAAACCAGGACCCCTCTTGTAGTTACCTACAACCCTACTCTAGAGGTAATATGCAAAATAATCGAAGATCTACAGCCATTAATTGTTATATATATATTTTTTTCACTATATAATTTTTTTCACCTTATGTTCACCTGAAAAAACTTGTCACTTCCATTTGAATATTTGTATTCACACTGACTAAGTTTTAAAAGAAACTTTATGTATCACTTGGAAACAAATTGGTAATTATAGCACACTATTTGGGAATTTTATGTTATGTTTATGTTATTTCATGTTATGATTATTGCTATGTTTGCATAGTCATTTTATTTATACTTTGAAACTGTATCAGCACTTTGAGTGTTCCTCATGAGAGGTTATGAACATTCATTTCTTTGTGTTTTGTTAATATTGGCATTTTTGCACATCTTTTTTCCGGTTATTTTTATGCACTTTGAATGTTCCCCACGGAGAGGTTATTAGCGCTGTATCTTTTTGTTTACTAGTTGTCTTGTGTAAGCCACCCCTCTGTTGCAGCACATCAGGTCCCATACCACCATCTTCCTTCTGACATAATCAGGGTTCTATGGTGTCTTCCTAATTCTTGCTGCCGCACTGAATGCGCTATGGCGCTGTGTGGTTGGGAAGTTTCCCAGTACATGTGCAGTGTAGCGTAGATTGCGTGAAGCCTCTTGGAGTGTGTGATGTCACTATCTCAGGAGGCTTCATGCAGGCGGATGTGCATCATTCTCATCTAGGCGAGAAAGCCGGAAGTGCGGGCTAAGGACCTGCAAAAAAGCACCTTCCATAAAAAAAATTAATAAAAAATATATCCAAAAATATATCCAATTGTGCAATGAGAGAAAATGATAGGAACTAATTAAACAGGGTGGAGTTCCACTTTAATATCTTACCACTAAGGCATTTTGTCCATCAGTGCCTGGCTGCTGCTTTAAGTAAAACAATAATTTTTATGAGCATCCTTGCCCTTCTGGAAACATCAACCTCCTGGCACCAAAACCTACAGGGTTATTCACAAAAAGGTGAAGAGTTTGGAGAAGACAGGAGAAGTGAACAATCTAGGACAACATAGCTGAACTGGAAAGTGAGCTGAATTGCAGAATTTTCCAAATCAGCTTTTTTTGTCCTAGATTGTTGACTTGCTAGATTGCTAACCCTGCTAGTGGTCTGGCTCTAGTACAGAGAAGATAGTGGGTTGCTCGCTCGTTTGGCACTTTTCCCATTCACAACATTTATTTTTTCCCTTTTTTTTTTACTTTACACAGAATACAAGGTGTTTTGTGAATAGACAAGGGAGAACATTTGGGAAGGGTAAACCTTGTCATCTCCCTTGTACATTTACAGAATACCTTGTATTCTGTATAAAAAGTGCAAGACATTTTTATAATGGCCAAAAACATTTCTTTTCTGGCATCCTGCTTTTTTTCCGCTTTTTTTCTTGTACTGCGTCATCACCAGATGTTCTTGACTTACTTGCACTTTATAAATGTAATACACTATTATGTTTCTACTAATGGGAAATGGGGCATTTACCATAAAGTACCTTAGCTAATGAAAAAGAACTTTGACCTTTGCATAGTAAAGTCAAATTAAAGAGTAAAGAATCTGAAGCAGTCATCTTAATCCTGTTGACGTCAGTACGCCATGATGATCCACATTTTTATTTCAGTAGCTGTGTGAATGCTATTATAGAAATAAAAAGGTTAAAATAATAATTAATATAAAAATAACAGCCTATTATAGATTTCACCTAGATTTTCTTTGGTAATGGATTTTCCAGAACAGTATTATGATATCCATCTTTGTGTGAAAATTGGTTAGATCCCCGTTGCTTTTGGAGTACTCTAAAAATGGCGTATTAGAAAATGGTTCATTTAGTGCATATGGTATAGTGAATTTGTTAAGACATGGAATAATCTAGTGTGTGATTTGGATTCAGATGAGACATATAGATTGTGATCTGAAATTCTGGAAAGCAAAGATACAAAGCAGACAGATATATGGTAAATAACTTTTCTGCTACAGACTCTATATTTTCCAAATTTTTTCAGTTCAAAGGATAAAGCCAAATTAAATGGCAGCAGATTTAATACCAGCAGTATAACGGTGTTGGATTGACTGCATGTTGCTTGATAAAATGTTTCACATATTATGTTTATTAGTTATTGTTATCCTTACCTTGTCTGCTTGCTGGTATTTTCGCTGAGAAACCATGCAGCGCATATAGATGTGTTTTATCTACTTTTTCTTCCAGAGAATGATTTTAACTTTGTGTGTATTCAGGTTCCGTTGAGAGACTTGACATTTAATGGTAATAGCAAGATAATTTATATTGTGCATACCAATGGAACACTTCAGTGCAATGTAATTTACATGGTCGTAAAAGTAATAACTGCTTTGCAGCAACACTATTTAGATTTTTCTTTCCGATGACCTGAGTAATTTATTTATTTCTGTTTTGAAAAGCTTTTTATTTTGCATGATTTGCATGATTGATATGAATAAAATTGTAGACTGTAAACCCTGTTATTGCTTTATATATAAATGCATTCTCCTTAATAATTATAAAATGGGGGTCCTAATCTCACTTTCCTTCTCTAAAAGATACTGGTTAACATGTTGTATTTGCTTGAGTTTGACCAAATCCAATTGTTTAGGAAACCAGTTGTGGAGCT